TTGTTTTGTACGAATTTCAATATAGCCAGTGTTTCTCTCACTGCTAGCACGAATCCAACAACAGCACTTCATGTGTCAAAATCCATCAAGCCGTTTCAGCTGTAGCTTATGAAATAGTAAATACCTAAAGGTTGATTTTTTTTTAAATATGCTATTTTGTTTGTTTGTATAAAATTTTAATGTTACCAGTGTCACTCGCATCGCTAAGACGAATTCAACGACACCTTATATGTGAAATTCCATCCAGCCGTCTGGCCTGTAGGTGAAAATATGCACGTTATCCATATCAACCCAAATGAGAATAACTCACATCGTCGCCGGCGGACGAAAATTGAACAGCCAAGCATCCGGCACTGGGTAAGATGTCATGTATCGCAGCCCTGTTATGGTGAATAAAATAACTGTCTGATTTAGTATTCAGGAACGAGTATTGATTGCAGTAAACCCATGAAATTTACATGATTCTTTTTCGTACTTCCTGCAAGTCTTCCAAAAATTTTATGTGAAATTATTTTATCACATCCACCCTTCTAGTGGCCTGATATTTGGAAAAGCCACGCCTCTCACAGTATTCATATTGAAGCAAACTCAGATAATTATGAAATCTCATATTTCATCGCATATTGTGTATTATGTATCGCATCACAAATTACATATTATATAGGGTGAGAGTGGTCCATATGTACAAGTAGGCAACTAATTTATACGGATAAATCTTGGCAGAAATAAACTACACCTTCAGTTTTAAATACTTACACTTACACATTTACCTATGAACGTCGACGTTTTCAGTAAGACTATGTTTACTCCACAGTTATGCTGGATTTACCAGCATAAGCCTCCTACACTAGCCTCATAGAAAAAGTCTGGCGCGGTTAATTCGAGATGTGCGGGGTTGGAATGTGAAATTGAACATTCCGGAACAAATGACTTTAAATAGGTTGACCCTGCACGTCTCGCGCTTCACGGCCATCAGTTCCTAAAGGATTATGTTCGGTATAATTTGTCTCCCAACCCTCATATTCAATCCCTCTAAATTTTTCTCTAAAAATGATCAGGAGCCTTTGAAACGACAAAAAACGAGGTTTGAGCGACTCTTATTTTTTTGTTTTTTACTCTCAGTTCCAAGTGCGCTGGACCGGTTTTCAAAAATTACAAAGCTTTTTCGTCAATGGCATAATAGTAACCTTACCTACAAATCTTACTCCCCAAGTTGCAGGTGCGCTAAGGATAAGTGGATAGACACTGACAGGCTGAGAGCGAGACTCAAAACACACATACTACTGTATGCCGAACTTCGGCATACTAGAAATTACTGTTTTACTATTCGTCATTGATTTGTCTGGGCGATCCGTGGGACCTTTGCCCATTAGTCACTGTCTGATGTACGTTAGTCGAATCTGTCAGTCCTGGTTGCCCAGAAACCAGACAAAGTCAAGGAAAAAGAGAAAGGGAAAGAGAAGAAAAAAGAAGAACAAAGAAAAACAGATATGCTTAGTTTAAGAGGAAACACCTAGGCTTTTTGACTTGGTACACGGATTAATTTTGAGGTGAACTAAACAATTTTTTTTTTGATTCGGTTTTGTTAGAGTGTAATTTTGAGTTTACTAAAGATTCACGATAACTTTTGATTACAGTGCGAGCCGTGGCCTTGAATGTTTACGAACTTGCTCCACTGTGTAGTCCACTGAGTCACGCAACAGAGGGTTGCTGTGCGATTCCGCTTGACTATAACGTCGCTGCGCCTGAAGCTTGACATAATCCCTCAAGTAAGGAATGTCAAGGTCTCTGTGTAGTATCTCATTTGAGACATACCATGGAGCGTTGCAAATTGTCCGCAAAGTTCTGCTTTGCAGTACTTCAAGACTTTGCATATGTGTCTTGGCAAGAAAACACCAAGCCGCAGTAAGGAATGTCAAGGTCTCTGTGTAGTATCTCATTTGAGACATACCATGGAGCGTTGCAAATTGTCCGCAAAGTTCTGCTTTGCAGTACTTGAAGACTTTGCATGTGTGTCTTGGCAAGAAAACACCAAGCCGCACATGCATAAGTAATGGCTGGTCTAATAATCATTTTATATAGTCGAACTTTGTTTATCAAACTGAATTTGGAGGATCTACATAACAAAGGATATAGTTGCCGAAACGCAATTTGGAATTTTGTTTTTATGGATGCTGTATGTTTCTGCCAGGTCATGCCTTTATCAATGGTGACACTGAGATACTTGGCAGAATTTGTCCATGGTACACGATTTCCGTCTACAGAAACCTCTGCTGGGGGGCCGCGACGTTTTTTGGTACAATAAGTAGCCTGCGTTTTCGAATGATTAATTTTCATCAGCCATCGTGCCGCCCACTCTAGAACTTCGTCCACCGCATTCTGCAACCCATCGTGAACCAGATCACCAGTACACGACTGGGCGACAAGTGCAGTGTCGTCAGCATAGAGGTAGACTTCACAGTTGTTGGGGGAAGGGACATCATGGATAAAAAGTGAATAAAGAATTGGTCCTAGGACCGAACCCTGAGGAACTCGCCCGTACTGGCCGTGATGATGACAAAACATTGTTAATTTTGATCCGAAACTTCCTTCCTTCAAGAAAGGATTTCAGTAATTTTAGAAGCCAAAAAGGTAAACCCTTTTGGATTAGTTTATAGAGGACGCCCGCGTGCCACACCTTGTCAAAGGCTTTTGAGACATCCAAAAGCAAGATGCCAGTACTCATCCTGAGGGTGAACCCTCTGGTTACATGCTCCACCAGCCTGGCTGCCTGTAGCTCAGTGCTATGCTCGGACCGAAAACCGAATTGGACGTCAGGAATCACATGGTGATTTGACGAAAATTTCTCAAGGTGACGATAAATCACCTTTTCGGCGAGCTTAGAAGGAGCTGAGAGCAGACTTATGGGACGGTATCCTGAGGAAATATCGAACCCACCTTCTATGGAATCATGATGACCTCAGCAGTCTTCCACCCAGCAGGGAAGTACTGGATTTTGAGCGTCGCATTGATTATTGTCACCAAGTATGTCAGGGCTTTCGGCGAGAGCAGCTTCAACGCCTTGTTGGTGATTTGATCCTCCCCAGGTGCTTTACGCACCTTGAGGTCTTTAATATGACTTAGTAACTCCGCTGGTGTGCAATGTGGAAACTCGGAGGGTTCCGCTAATGTGCTATGTGGAGCCTCAGACGAATCTTCTGAAGAAGAGTCATCTGAAGAGGATTCAGTGCCTCCGCTAACGCCGTTGGCTCTAAAATATCTCCTGACGGATCGTACGATGTGCTGTTCCTCGTCGAGGTCATTATCAAGATCATAGTTGGGAGAGAACTGTTTTTCCATGGCAGCAGCGAAAACCTCGACCTTATCCTCCGTTCTGAAGACTATGCCTTCAGGCCCGTGGATATGTGGGAGTTGTTCTCGCTTTCCGTTTCTGAGTGACTTTGCGACCCTCCAGAGAGGAATACTTGAATCAAGCATTCCCGCCAGAAAGTCGCTCCATTGCTCGTTGCGGAGTTCGTGCAGTGCGTTTCTCACTTCATGGACAAGATTTGTAGCCCTACGAATGTCATCAGGATGACAAGACCTTTTTGCCTGCTTAATAGCGGCTCTTTTGTCAGAGATTTTCTGCCGAATGTCCGCAGGCAAAAAAGGTCTGCCGTGTCGTTGTACAGGAAATACAGCTGCACGCTGTAGAGCTGCTTGAATGAAACTTGTCCACTCCGCTTGAGCGGCATCTATTCCAGACTCATCATCTATAATCGGGATATTGGGAAACTCTCTAAGGAGCAACTTGTCCCAATCAATGCGTTTTCTTGGAGGAGCTGCCTCCTCAGAAGTTTGCTCATTGCCCACATCCAAGACATTACTGTTTTGTACTTACCGTGTTGCTGATTGCTGTCATCCAATCGCTGCATGCAAATAAAAAGAGGAATATTAATGGGGATAGAGAGAAGTATTGCAATACAACAATACAATATGTTTCCCGAGTTATGTGTCCATACCGGACATGTATATCATGTATCAGCACAAAGAACATAGTTTCACCTTTGCCGAATATTTACCATTTTATTGTTATATTATTTCATTTTTGGTTCAGTCTTATCTTCTTACATGTAACAAACACTTCCACCTGAAATAAAATGTTATTCCTGTTTGAAGGAGTATTCTCAATACACTGCATTTGATTATTTCCTGGTATGTATACAGGTGACCAAAAACAATGTTATCAGTTTTTCTTCTTGACAAATAAAGGTACAGCTCTGAAATTATATGTGAATATTCCATTTTTATAGTAGGACTAGCTGACCTGACAGACCTTGTCCTGTCTTAGCTGTGAACTGGGATGAATAATGAATAATATAAGAGTAAATATATGGGATGTAGGTAATTACATAGCGACGTATTTGTATCTATCTAAGATACGTTGGCTGCTCTGTAATTCCTCCATCAACTTACCTTAAAAGTACGCATAAAATTAGGTAGAATTAATTTTGTTGCGCCAAATGACGTCATTTAAAAGGAATCATTGTATTGCTGGATATGATATATATATATATATATAACCTTGTCCGGTTGTCGAGATATACGGTGTATCTGTTGCTCTCTACATTTTTGTTGTTTTTTGCTGTTATTACTTGGACAAAAAATTTCGTTCAAAGTTGAAGTTACAGTTTTCTATTCGTGCATTGTTGGTGCAATTGCGCATAGTGTGGTTAATTGTAATGGCCGATCCATTATGCAATTCCTGTAATACGGCTATCACAGCTCGTTCCAAAAGTGTTAAATGTGATGGTTTTTGTGAAAACGTTTTTCATGCAGCATGCCAGGGGCTGTCAGCTGATGTGATAAAAAACATTGAAAAGGTCAATGGTTTACTATGGAAATGTCAGTCATGCTGTGCTTACTCCAATGAGGTAAAGCAACTTCTAGACGTCAAACTTGCAAGTCTATCTGAAAATATTCAACTTCTATTTTCTACTTTCCGTACGGAGTTTATGGAAATGGCTGCAAAAAGGGGTAATCTACCAGAACCTGGGCCTTCCGGTATCAAGAAATCTTATTCGTCGGTAGCTAAGGGTAAATCTGCAATCATCATTCAACCGAAAGATACCACCCAAGCTGTGCAAACTACCAAATCAGATTTACTTCAATATGTTGATCCAGTTTCCGAAAACTTACATATATCTGGAGTGAAGAATATAAGGAATGGTGGCATGCTGGTAGGCTGTTCGTCTGATGATGACAGTCGGAAGTTGAGGCAGATAGCTGTCGAAAAATTGGCTGATAAATATGAAATTAAAGAGGTATCCAGCTTTCATCCTAGAGTGCGTATCGCAGGCATGACTTGTAAACTGCCTGAAGGTGATGTTATCAAGTCCATTCGTGCACAGAATAAGGAAGCGTTTACTGAACATTCTCAATGTAAGGTGGTTGAAATCAAGCCCATCAAAAAACGGAGTGACATTTATCAAGCTGTTATTAATCTTGATATGGATACATACAATAAGGATTTGTCTGTGTGTAGCAGTAAGTTATTCGTGGGGTATGATGTGTGTGACGTATTTGATGCTATTGATATTAAAAGATGTTTTAATTGTAGCGGATTCTCGCATTATTCAAAAGAGTGTAAAAGTAAGAAGTTTCATTGTCCGCGGTGTAGTGAAAATCATTTAGTCAAAAATTGTAAAGCAACTTCGCTGAAATGTATAAACTGTATGAAAAGTAATAATGAAAGGAATACTGAATTTGATGCTGCACATGCTGCTTGGGATTCTAGGTGTCCTTACTATTTACAGCGAATTGAAGAGTTTAAATCCAGGTTGATTTTTTCCTGATTGCGAACTACCCGGTGAATTATATAGCAATGAATATCATAACTCTCGCACAGCACATTCCTCATGTCCTGTTAAAAAAACTCTTTCTGTATATTACCAGAACGTTCGGGGATTAAACTCCAAATGTCAAGATTTCCTTCTCAATGTAACAATATCTGATTATGACATCATTTGCTGTACTGAAACTTGGCTGCAATCAGGGGTACTCAATGCAGAGCTATTTACAGTCCAGTACTGTGTTTTTAGATCTGATAGAGACTTAGTTAACCTAGAATGTACAAGAGGAGGTGGGGCTCTAATTGCCACGAAAGACTGGTTCAGTTTACCATTGAATATAAAACCACATATAAATTTGTGGTCTACATACCACCCAATACTAGCGTTGCATGTTATGAGCGCTTATTTGAGCATCTAGAATCTTTGACATACCTCTCTGGTAATGATGTTTATTTTCTTGGGGATTTCAACACTCCAGAGTTTTGTATACAGAATATCTCACCGTCACGCAAATTGAATGTAGTTGACTCCTTTACAGCATATTTTGATTTCTTACAATACAATCAAATTCTTAATATTAACAATAGATTGCTTGATCTAGTGTTCTCCAACAAATCATGCTTGGTGACTAGAGCATACGATGACCTATTGCCCGAAGACTCACATCATCCTCCACTTTGTATTACATTACACAGAAACTATCGTAGCAAAACCTGGTCACAATCAAATGATGTTACCTTCAATTTTCGCAAAGCTGATTTTGTTACGCTGTATGAACAATTGACACTTATGGACTGGTCATTTCTTGAGGATATTGCGGATGTCAATATTGCTTGCACTCTATTCTACAATAACCTAATAAATATTTTCAACATGTGTATTCCGAAAACTAAGCGTACGCCTGGCAAATTTCCACCCTGGTACACTCGCGCAATCATCAAGGATATTAAACAAAAGAATTCACTACATAAATTATACAAAAAACGTCAAGAAGTGACTGTCTATGATACATTTAAAGAATTAAGAACCAAAATTAAAAGAGACGTTAGTCATGCGTATAAAAAGTACATAGAGCAGACTGAAAATTGCATAAAAAAAGATCCTAATCAGTTTTGGTCCTTCATCAAAAGTAAAAGGCACAGTGACCTTTCACCTTCTGAATTCACTCACAATGATTGTGTTTTCAATAACCCTGTTAATATAGCAAATGCCTTCGCTAATTTTTTCCAGTCTGTCTATTCTACCCCCAATGTAGCAGCTAGGCCAGATGATGATATTATTGCTACAAACAATATTGTGCTGAATAGCTTCACAGAAAAGGAGGTTCTTATGGCATTAAAGAAAATGAAAAACAAGTTCACTACTGGACCTGATGGTATACCTGCATTCTTAATCCGTGATTGTGCACCTATTCTTGCTGCACCTTTAACTAAAATCTATAACCTAAGTATCAGATCACATACATTTCCTGAGATTTGGCGTGAAGCCAAGGTTCGACCTATCCATAAAAATGGAAACCGTAAATTAATTGAAAACCACAGGCCTATCACTATTGTGAGTAATTTTTCGAAAACGTTTGAAATGTTATTACATAATTTCATACAATATAACGTAAGTTCTTCAATTTCTACAGCACAACATGGATTTGTAAAAGGAAGGTCGACAACAACAAACTTAGTCTGTTTAACTCAATTCCTAGCAGGTGTTTTAGATTCTAATGGTCAGGTTGATGTGCTATATACTGATTTCAGTAAAGCGTTTGATAGAGTCGATCATGGTTTACTACTGGGAAAACTAAATAGCATTGGCTTATCTAAAAATTTGGTATTATTATTTCAGTCGTATTTGTCTGATCGCAAACTATATGTGGATTTTAACGGTGGTAAATCAATTCACTTTTTTCCATCTACTGGCGTCCCACAAGGATCTTCCTTAGGTCCACTGCTATTCGTCATTTTTATTAATGACTTAGTTAATACGATTGACTGCAATATTCTGCTCTACGCGGACGACGTAAAACTCTACTGGCAAATTGATGATCCATCTAGTTGCTTTTATTTACAAAGGAATCTTGACAGACTGTCTGAGTGGTGTACTGCTAATAAACTTCCTATCAACGTGAGCAAATGTAAATCTTTAACTTTCACTAGGAGAGTAAATTCAACTACCAATAGTTATAAAATTAACAACATTCCTCTTCAGACTTTAGAGGAGTTCAGGGACCTAGGAGTAATATTTGACAGGACATTGAGCTTCAGTGCACAGCTCACTAATTTAATGAATTCTGCTAATAAAGCACTGGGATTCGTTATACGCAATTCAAGAGAATTTATCGGTACCACAGCACCTACAGTGCTGTATAATTCGTTTGTTCTTTCTAAGCTGGAATACGGAAGAATAATCTGGAACCCATGCTATGTTACCTCATGTGACTCATTGGAAAAAATTCAGAGGAAGTTCTTGAAGTATTTATCTCTCAAAACTGATGGTGTTTATCCTCCCATAGGGATTTCACAAAATAACTTACTTCAAAAGCATAGGTTTCTCAGCCTTGATGATAGAAAGAAGATACAATATTTAATCTTTTTGTTTAAAGTTATAAATTACCAACATGACTGTCCATCATTTTTGTCTATGCTAAATTTCAATACACCCAGAGTACGAACAAGGGCCAACCTTGCCTTTTACCTACCTACCCCACGAACAAATCTACTGCTGCACTCACCGCTATATTCGATATGCTCATGTTATAATGACTATATGAATTATTTTGATATCTTCAACACATCCATTTTTATTATTAAGAGAGTATGTAAAGCGGTATTTTTTTTTTAGAGCTACCACAGTTTGATTGAGCTATGATCAGTTGTAGCTTTTCATGGGTTCTTATTGGTAATTACAAAGCAATCAATGCTATTAGTTTATTTTGTGATTTTTATATATATATGTACGGTATTTCCCACCAGTAATTGGTTTATAAACTGTTGGTGGTGTACTTAAATAAATAAATAAATAAATAAATATGAGTTAAAAAATGTATAGAATCTGGCCAATTTCTGGAAACCAATTAATGTAGTGGCTCTAGTGGTGGTACCAATAATATTTTTAAACATGAAAGCCTTGCAATGTGGACTCACACCGTTCATTGGTCCAATAGCAATGATTTGTTCTGAACTGTAATCGATTACCACGTCATAACTGAATGCATCTCGATTGGAATCGAACGCGACACTTCTATGTTGTTGGATTTTAGTCCTTCGATCTCGTTCAACTTCATCTCTCGTTGCTCGTCAGTTTGACTTCTTCGTATATATTTTTGACTTGCAGCATCGCCAGTTCGGCGACCTAGGTTGGTACGCCTACTTGGTGGCATTTTGAAGAATCCCAATGTGAAAATCCTTGATGTGAACCCACTTCCACCCTTGTTAATTACTTTTGAACAAATACTTCTCAAGAAACTCACTGGACAAACCGAAAACTGGATAAAAGCTCTAATTGAATGAACTGTACACTACTAATTAAATAAAACAATATTTTTTTATCGATAAACACTGTTAAAAAATAGTATAAATTTGCAGCGTGTGAGCTATCAAGTTCAAAATGATAGAGTAGTGAAAGTCAATCAAGCAAAAGAGACGTATTTTCATCCGCCAGTTTTATTCATAGAGTTAACTGACAAAGATAACAATTAGGCAACACTGCAGTTTCTTTTAAAGGGGCCATCCCAGAGTACGGATGGTAAAGAAATGTCCAAAAACGAAAGCACCGTGTTTTTTTCATAAGCAATTTTCTCTCACGTAGCTAACTGTCAATAGCTGTTGGCATAAAAATGGCGGAGAGGAGTGCCTGTCTCTTTTGGCGTGCTCCATGCGCAAGCAAACTGTCAAACGCGCGTAGGTTAAATAATCATTAGGTTTTCAATGAGTTCCCAATTTTCTGCGCAATTTTCTTGATTTTTCTTCTTATATTCTTCTTCCCATAAGAACAATACAGCATCAGGAAACTTTTAAAAGAAGATTAATGAAACCGGTAATGGTGATGTTCAACAATTTATTGTCAGATTAAAACTATTTATTAATGATGTTTAAAGCAATATTATGACAAACATTAGAAACCATAGCAACGCTACTCAGATATTATCCAAAGCAACTTGATTATTATGTAATAAAAATGTTTTATCATCATGGTACAAATAATGAATTGGAACTTTTAAAAACAAATATCTCGAAAACTATTAGCTACAGACACTTCTAACAAGTGAACCTTTTTGTTGTGGAAATACGAGAAAATAATATTTTTTTGCCAGTTGTTGTATGCATGGTAGCACAAAAAAGTTATGATAAGTTATTTACCGAAATAGTGGTGTGAGTGGCGCCCTCTAGAAGTTTGACTATAAAAAATAACGGATTCTTGTTTCTCATTCTAGAAAACCTCCCGACACCGAGTTTTATGCCACAATCTAGAATACTCCTTAAGCAATAATGAAAAATAGAAAATATAACTGTAACTTTGACACCCTGAATCTCGCAAACTATCAATCAACATTTTGACTGAGGTATGTTTAGGTCAATTCACATATTTTGGTCTGTAGTACCTCCAGTTTCAAGATTTCCCAACATTTCGCAGGGAAAAATGGAATAATTGCATTATACATTCAAAGCTGTACTATTATGTGTTAAAAGACATACCAGTCTTTCAGCAACCGAAAATGCACCGCACAGCGAAAACCTAAAGATATTGATTACAAACAAGCAAATCTAAATTTTCTCCAACTGTTCCAGACAGCCAGTCTTGATAGATTCAAATTGCGCAGTAAGTACTAAAAATTCAAGAAACGTCCCAGCTATTAGACGTTCAGCTGATGCATATCAAGCCAATCTTCATCTCGTTCAAATCTTGGGCTGTTGCAACGCAACACGTTATCTTGGCTCCAACCATTATTTACTTGTTGTCAAGAAAACGACTAGACACCTTGTTGCTTGAACCAAAAATTCCATTGAAAG